GTAAGGCAGCTCAGAGGATGCCAGAATCTGAAAACAAATCATTTGCCCAAATTTCCTTGTCATATTTCCCACTGATTGGACAAAATCAAGCTGAGGCCTAGGCTCATCAAACACCACAGTTTATTGCTGGGGAGAGGAACTGAGTTTGGACTCAGGAGAGAATTCCAGACCCTCACTACTGTTGCATGTTGTTCTGAGTCTGTGAAGACAGAATCTTGCTTCCCTGAGATTTTTAATTCCTTCATCTGGAGAATGAAGAGGGAGACTCTAGACGGTATGACACGGTCTTCTTACTCCATGAGTTAGGTCCGCAGCCCCAGAGAGCTGAGTTTTGTGGTCATCCCTCAGCCATATGCTTTGCTCACTAATGCCATGTACGTGTCTGCTGGAGACATGATCATGCAAGGACTGGGTCTGCTGAGCGTGGGTCACGTCAGCCATGGTGGCAGATCACCCATCTCCACAGGCCACCTGCAACCTGCAGCTGCGTGAGCAGCTGGGGGGTCATGCAGGCTGAGTTTTGAAGCTGCAGTTTAGGGGTGTCTATGACACACGTCACCTAGTCTTTGTGTTTCATGTCTCCATCACTGAAATGAGGAAGTGAGAGAAGCAAGATTTCAGACAGTCTTGCTATTTGCATTGCTCAAAATCGATGCCCAGCCATCCATGAAATTGTGTGCACTGAGGGCATCCCCATCCGCCCGCCATGCACAGAGCAGCACCCAACTCAAGCAAGAGGGAGCGTGGCCCCCACTGCTTGCCCTGTGGTTCTTAGCCTGAACAGCTGTGGGAAAGACAGCAAGAAAGACCAGTAGCACCCTGGGCACACTGTGCACAGCGAGGAGACAGTACAATAACACTGCAGAAACCTCGAAGCAGAGAGAAATGCCCATCACTGATTCAAAGGCTATATGTCCCACCTCAGATGAAAGACAGCTGGGAGGGAATGGATCTGTGGCTCTTCCTTCCCAGTGCAAGCCTGAGCTGAGCTGAGAGAGCAGGCTGCACTGAGTCATGTTTGCCAAGTACTACTGTCTTTCACAGTAACTATGTTTCCCAGCACACCCCACGCCCATCCTTGGGAGCAGCTGCTGAAGCCATTCAGTGGCCAGGGAGCCCAGTAGAATTGGGCCATCTGGCCCAGCACTGGGTATACCCCTGCCAGGGCTCAGCCCAGGAAGCAGGTCTGCTGCCTTCGCTCTGCAGCTCCGAGTTCTTGTCATCCTGCTGGAACCTCCTCACCCTTCCCACCTCTGATGTCGCGTGTCCTCATCTCGGGGAAGCCACATTCTCTTCCTCTGTTTCTCCCCAAATGCTGCCCACACCCACATCTCCCCCAGGCTCCTAAGGGTTAGGCTTCTGGGAACCACACTAGGGAGGAGATTCAACTGCAGGTCTCCCAGCTGCAAATTCTTCCTGTGGCCATGAACAAAAGGCCAGGGGTACATTTAAATGCAGGTAAGCTGGGAGAAATGCTAGGGAACAATTTTAAAGAACAGAGACACAGATATCCAAAATATCATCCCATCCCTTAAGGGTTAAATAAAACAGCAAATCAAAGTGCCCACCATGTTTCAAGGATGCAACAAATAGTGGCTATGTTCCCCTTTTAGGACACATTGTCTAGGTCACTGGGACATGTTGGATTCATGTTCCTGACAACCTCAGAGGTTCTATTATGCCAACAACCTATGCTTATAGTTTTACCTTGCCCTTCTAATGTCTGTGCTTTATTTTCCCAAGTCAATAAAAGCACATCCAGAGCCTGGACCACTTCTCTTAATTCACTAAATCTAGTAGAAAGCTGGGCAAACAGCAGATACTTTAACAAACGCTGCATAATCTAGCCTCAGGAATCTAAATCATGCATACAAATATTTAAAGAAGGTTCTCTGTGGAAGGAAGCAGGTTTTCTTTTCTGAACATGATTCATGACCCCATTTATGTCTACACATTCATAGAAGAACCATGTGTTCTATGAAAACTAAACATTAAAAACAAGGAGATTTTTAATGCATGAATCCTTTGTTTAAAAATCTTGCATCACAAGCACCACTGGGTGCAAATATAGGTCAGATTTTTTGCTGGGCCTCCTATTGCAAAATGCTAATTGAATCGATCTCCCAGAACCTTGTCACTGCTATACAGAGGCCATCACAGAACTGGGACGCTTGAGTCAAAAACACAGAACAGGAATGTGGGGTTTTTTTGTGAAAGAAAATAGCCTGTAGGAAAACACCTTAGCCTCCAAGAGTGTCTCAAAGCTCGGCCTTAGAGGATGCAGCTGCTGAGTGAAGGGTGGGGGAGAGTGAGAGGAGAGATCACAGCAGGTCCCCAGAGGTGCTGTGTGTGGATGGATGGAGTCACACCACAGGGACTCATGCTTTACCACTGCCTGCAGTGTGGCCTTGGGCCCTGCGCTTCTGCGCACTAAGCCTAGTGTGCTCACCTATCACTACAGAGGAGTCCCTGCCTCCCCAGAGTCTTGTGAAGAGTCCATGGGATGACGTAGGTTGAGAACCTGAGGTGGTGCTAGATACACATTTCATGGCCATTGGATGTTGGTTGTTGCTGGGTCTGCCGCTGCAAGTTTAGGGGTTGGGGGAGAGACAAAGCAGAAGAGAGATGACACATGTGGAGTGTACCACACCTGGGATGCCCTGGGAAGGAACAGCTCCACCACCCACACCCAGACTCACATCCTCCTTCCTGCAGCTCAACAGACACAGCCCCCTGCTGGGGCAGGAGCATGCACATGGCTCGGAGGAGCACATTCCTCCGTGGGCCGTCTCAGGTTATTCCTCAAAGTCAGATAGATATCCAGCGATCCCCATGAAGTGAGCACTTCCAAAGAGACCCCTTTCATTTCCAAAGTCAGCTGTGAGTGGCAAGGAATACCATGAGCCCAAATGATGCAAACCATGGAGACAGGTGCATCAAGGAGCCCAAGGCATCCCAAGTACAGCAGTGAGGAGAGCACCGGGCTCCACCCAGCCCTGTGTGGCTCTCCTGCTCTGCCCTCCTCCCTGCCTTGCCTCTGTGGCTGCCTCTAGTGTGCCAGCAGCCTTGGCCTTGGAACCTCACTTATCACCAAGGAAAGAGAGGAAGAGTCAGACTCTCCGTTCTCCTGCATCAGCTGTCAGTCAACAGCCCTCACGTACCCCCTGAGTTGGGTCTCATGATTATCTGTGGACCCATCACAGTGGCTGCTTGAATGCCACATGCTGATGGGATTCACCTTCGTCCTGGGTGCCAGGTCCACACCTCCATCAGTCTCTGCAGCAGTAGGGATGGCGTAAGTTAAATAAAGTTCAGCCCCTGGAGATCAAGTCAAATATCTAGGGCGGACTTTGCAAGAAGGAAGGAGTGTAACACATGTGGAGAGACAGCTACAATGCCCCGTTTTTCCAGTATTCAACTCCCTGTCTCCCACAACTCAGCAGACAATCGCAGAATGTCTGCTGTGTGCCAGGCAGAGCCCAGGATGCCAGGAGGACACCGAGGCCCAGTGTTGTGGAGAGGAATAAATGAGCCGACTTAGGCCAAGTGCCCGGTGCAGCACTCAGCCCCTGATTCTTGCTCAGTGTTGTCTTCATTAAGATGAATAATGCATGAGTGATCCCTGCTATCCAGGAGAGAGACTTAAACTAATAAATTACAGCAGCGTGCGGAGAGTGGCGAGAGTATGCCTGCGGGCGGCGTCAAGGAGAGACATCGCATAAGGAGTATGCAAAAAGACCCAGCCTCAGGAAGCATCTAGCTCAGTGGATCTTAACCTTGACTTTGCATTTGATTCACCTGAGGAGCTTTTAAAACTCCCCGTACCAATTAAGTCGGAATCCCTGGGGCTGAGACAGAGCGCTGGGCGCCGGTCTGACTTTGTAAAGATCCCCAGATGATGAGACTGCATGGGCGACGTTGGGCACCCTACCCTTTTAGGTTATTGAGGACATAAAACACACACAGGTAAACCATTAGTTGGCAATGCCGGGTGCTGGGGGGTGGAGGTATGGTAAAAGGGACTGTTAGTGCCCAAGGTTCAGGGAGGGCACGGGGCTTGGGCAGCTTTTCTGTGAGCAGCAGGGGACCGAGGGCTTGAGGGACCTTGAGGAACTGTGAGATGTAGCCGCTCCGAGCACTTGGGAGATGGTGTCTCTGTGGGAGGAATGGATGGGTGTAAGCAGAGGCCAATGGGCCAGCTTGGATTCAGTCAGGAGACAGAAGCCACATGGCAATTTCAACAGGAAAACGTAGCAAATCCCTGACTATACCAGGTCTCTAGTCAGAAGGGATTCGCCAGTAAGAAGTAAGGAGAGCCTAGAGGCACATCCAAGCAGGAACAGCATGGATGAGATTAAGGGGCAGCCCTGGAGCCCAGGCCTGAGATAGGGCAGCCCAGGGAAGGTCCGCCCTCCCCAAGCAGAAGTGAGGAGAGTGCTGGTGGGGCGTGGCTCACTGAGTGACAGAGAAGCACCCCTTTTTGGGAATGGCTCCTTTTCCTGGCATGCAGAGGCAGCCTCAGCTTCATACATCAACGTCTTAGCAGGGGATGGTTGGGAATCTGCCCTCTCCGGAGCTGGCAATCTGTCCACAGGGACTTGTTCCACTGGACCCCACCCTACCACCAAACTGCCGGGGTGCTGGGAGAGCTACACGAGCCGTGCTGAGTCTTGGAGAAGGAGGAGGCAAAACCCAGAAGTGTGCCCTTTGGGCAAACAGAGGCACAGGGACCAGCAAAGCTGCGCTTCCCCCAGGGCTGTCTTGGCCCTGCCTTCTGCTCCCTCTCTGAAAGAAGAGAGGTGCAAGGTCCAGGCTACGTCCGGCTGTGCGGGAGCAGAGGGGCAAGTGCCAGTGCTCAGGGGAGTCAGTAGGCAAGGGACACACGGTCAAGTTGACCTTGATCCACAATTAGCTGGTGCTTTGAAGCAGTATATCCTACCCAAGTTCTATAGGACGAGTGACAGTGCTGCTTTATTTATTTATTTTATTTTATTTTTCAGGAGGAGAAGTTGCCAAACCCCGCTTTGCTCAATTCTTCCACGGTAGCCTGGCTAGTCTCACCATCCGTCCCGGCAAAATGGAAAGCCAGAAGGTGATATCATGCTTGCAGGCCTGCAAGGAAGGGCTGGATATTAACTCCTTGGAAAGCCTTGGCCAAGGAATAAAGGTAAGGAAGGAGCTGGCATCACCCCCAAAAAGAAATCAATTTATGAAGCTGAGGCTGCCTATGCACGCCAGGAAATGAAGCCATTTCCTGTAAGATTGCACAGAAAGGCCACCACGGCAAGGGTGCTGCCACGGGGAGGTCAGTGACTGTCACGTCCACGAAGGACTCCTGCTGTCGTCTCCTGAGACTCCCAGATCCAGCCCTCGTGTGCAATCAGGCCACTACAAGGAGTTGGCTCTCATTCAGTGTCTGTGTGGAGGAAGTTGTTGTACTTCATTTGTTTATGGGTTGGTTGGTTGCTGTGTCATTTATTCGCCTAAAGGAACTGAAGCAGTGTGCCGGAGTACATTTCCAATGCATGAGAAATAAATAAAAAGTTAGGGCTCTGTAAAATACAAATTAGAAAGGGAAGTGTAAAACCAGAGAGGGGTGGAATTAGAAAGCAGATAGGGAGGTCATTAGGTCTTAAACTGGGATGAGGAGCCGAGGATTATCTCCGTGCAGTCTCTGGCAACAGCAGTATGAACAGAGTCATGATTTCTATTGTCCACTCACAATTAAAATATTCAAGTGATGCATGAGAACCAAAGCCACATTTCTGAGGAAAGCTCCTCCTGCAGGGCTGAGCAAAGAATGTGGCCGACCGGAGCCTCCCTCACAGGTAGGGTTACTCGCTGGCCTCACCTGACGGAGCTCATGGAGCGCCTGAGATGCTGCCTCCGATTCCCATGTCCTCTATCACAGTGCCTGGGTTCAATACCTGGCCCCTGTCCAAATTCCTACAAATGCAGACCCTGGAGGCAGCAGTGATGGCTGAAGTAGTTGAGTTCTTGCCACCCATGCAGTAGACCTGGATCGAGTTTCTGGCTCCTATGTCCAGCCCTGGCCCAGCCCCAGCCATTGTAGGTATTTGGAGAGTGAACCAGCAGATGGGAACTCTCTCTCCCTGTCTGTGTGTCTCTCACTCTCTCCCTCTCAAATAAATATTAAAAAACAGAAAAGAGCAGAGTCAATATCGTGGAACCCGCACTCGAGGATCCTGGAGCCCAGTGAGGGAAGGCGGTTTCTCAGCCTCCTCTCTGGAAGTTGGAGGGCCCACCCTCTGTGTCCCACGGCACAGGCCAATAGCACAGCACACCACATGGCATCAGCAGCTCCAGGTTTCCCTCCTCAGCCATTTCCAGAGGGGGTGTGGCTACAGCAGGCTTCCGTGAGCCCCTCCCATCCCCCTCCTGAAGCACCTGTGCTCTCCAACAGAATGGCCCTGCAGGGGCCCACTGCTTGCAGGGCTCAGACACGGGGTGGCCTTGCAGGAGCTGCTGGCCTGGGGACATGAGGTCTTTTTACAATTGCAATCATCCCTGACACTCACATACTCAGTTCTGGGCTGAGGGCCGGGATACAGAATATGCAGAGAACTCAGTGGCCCGGCTGGGTGACTGTTAACGGTGACCAGGAGCACTGGCATGCTGAGGGTGTCCCAAGTGCCAGGCACTCTGGGTTCTAGTCTACAGAGGTCCCCATGACTGAGGTACCCTGAACGTTCCCGTTTTTCACATCAGGAATGGAGGCCTGAGAAAGGAAACTGGTCTAAGGTCCCCAAGTTGGTGAAAAGAAGCGGAGCCAGATGTGAACTCAGGCTCCAGAATTTCAGAATTGGGCAGGGGGAGGGGATAGCAGTCAGGGAAGGCTCCCTGGAGGAGGTGAAGCTTGAAAAGAATGTTTAAGAATAGGTTGAAATCAACAGGAAAAAAAATGCAGGGCAGGTGGGAAGAGGGCGGCCATTCCAGGCAGATCCATGAGTGTGGGCAAAGGCAGGGGGCTAAGGAAGGACCTCACGGCGTGCACTGGCACTCCCACAAGGCCAGTGGTGCAAGTGCCTACAGTGCAGGCAGGAGAGAGCAGAAAGTGGGACTAGAGAGCTAAGCAAGGCAAAGATGGGCAGAAGTCTCGCAGACAGGTTGAGGTGTTCACATTTCTGTTTTTCTGCTAGCAACGGGGAGCCATCAGAGGTATGGGACGGGTGTCTGCTGTCCAGAGATGGGGTGCTGGGAGGCTGAACCTTCAGAACGGCTCAGGGATGGGAGCTGGGGGAGCGCAGAAGGTGAGGTGACGTCACCTCAACTTTCCAGAACGTTGGTTAACGCGGACGGCGTGTGCGTGCACACACGCCCATGATTCACCTGTAGTGCGGGTGTTCATGAGACCACCTCGCACTGGAAAGGCTGGCCACCATCCCCCCTTTGTTGTTCCCTTGGGGCTTCTGTCAAACCAGTGATATGCACATCGGGCCTCCTGCCCTCGCTCTGTTTCTGGGTCTGGATTTAGCGCCTGTGTCTGGGCGGATCCTGTCTGTTCTGGAAGGTCCCATGGAGACACAGCAGCGGGGTTCCAGGCCTGCGAGGAAACAAGCCAGGGATGCAGGGTTTAAAAGTCACACATTTTTTATTGATATATAAGATCCTAGCAATTTCTAGGGAAGTCAATGCCTGTGAAAATGGGAAGTGCTAAAATAAGTGGCACAAGTCTTGTGGGGGGCTGGAGGGCGCTAATCCAACATCCAGGCTAGCACCTGCTCCTGCCCCAGTCACTGCTCACTTCAAGTGGTCCTCTTCCATCCCTAGGGCGCGCCTGCTAAGAACGAGAGCACTGAGTGCCAAGTTAATAAGACACACGACTCGTGGAGCGCTCACTGGGGGCTATTTTACGTTCATTATCCCTACTCCTCACAACAAATTAAATATTATGACCTCATTTCAAAAATAAGGGGTCTGGGGCTCAGGGACTTGGCCAAGATAAATCCGTGCTCTTTCCTCCAAGCTAGCGATTCAGATCAGGAGACATTCTTGAAAATTATGAAAACTTCCTTCCCTCACTCCCTCCCTAATCCCTCAGCTCAGGTCTGAGTAATGACTGCTATTACATTTGCTGATTCCTGGCCTCCTCCTGCCTCTCTGGCTACTGGGAAGAAGTGAGCCCCCCTGGGGTTAAGGATACTGCCTGTCAGTTAAGGATGCTGTCTGTCTTCCTCTGGACCGTGCACACTTTGGAACATTTCCCCAGCCTGTGCAGGACCCCTAAATGGCTGTGATGGCTACCTCATTCTGGCCTTCATAGCTCAGTTCCTGCCACTGTCATCTCCAAAGTACGAAAGACCAGGAAAGAGCAAGGACTTTGGAATAAAACATTCCTAGATCCGAATCACAATACCGATATACACCAGCTGGGTGACCCTGGGGGAAGATGTTACAACCCTTTAAGCTCCAATCCCTCATGTGTAAGATGGACTGAACACTGTGTATCTTGTAGTGATGTTGTAATTTAATTTAATATATGTATCAACACGCACACAGGGACACACACCTAACAGTTTTGAACAAATCACAGCTCCTTTTGTGGCAGGAAGATTCTGAGCTGCTAGATCCAAATCTGGCCCTGCTCAGAGGGCTGCCAAGTGTGTGGGGGAACAGCTGGATGCCTGGGGAGCCGTGGCCAGCCTTCCCCTGAGGAGCAGGTCAGGGCTTTGGGCAGGGACCTCGCTGATGGTCCAGCCCAGTGGCTAGAGACACTAGCTGAGCCCCTAGCCGAGGTGACCATGCTACAAGGGCCATCTATCTAGCACCTGCTTGGTTCACTGTGGCCACAGCTTAGCTTCCCAGGGGAAAGTGAACATTGTCACTTCTGCTGGGCCCCAGCATGCCACCATCTCCTGTCCTTACGGTGATAACAGCACAAAGGTGTCCCCTGGATGACCAAAGATGTGTTTGCAGAGATGGGAAGACTGCAGTTGGAACAAAGCAAGAACTTATTTTGACTTTGTAAGAACTCTGTGGGTGGCAAGGCCAGTGCCCACCTTCCTGTCTTGGGATAACCCTCCAGATGCTCTGGCTGTTGGACCGGAGCATTACCTGGAGAGCCAATACATTCCCTAACCCGCGCTCCCACCTGGGGGCTGCGGCAGGAATGCGCCCTCTTCTGATTGCCATGGGGTACTGCAAACCCACCCCTGTAGATGAGCGGTCAAGCCAGGAACAATCAGCCCATTGTGCAGGGTTCGTCATCCTCCTCCTGCATCACATGTGAGGCAAACCCAGCACACCCTGCCTGCAGGTGCGCAGCACAAGCCCCTGCTGTTGGAGGGATGGTGTGTAGGGGAGGTAGGGGGCATGGTGACCAATAGTCTTCTTAGAGGAATGACCTTGCATCAGTACCAACCCACGATGGATGACCTGGACACCTGAGAGCGAATTACAACTCACTAGCATGTGGCTGCTGTGCTGGTAGGCCATCCACAGTTAGAGATACCCCAACACAGAGACTGGTTGTGGCATCAACCACGCGCATGCTGGAGTGCTCCTGAATCCAACACAGGGAGCAGCGCTCATGGCTGCTCACGACACGGCACAGGGCATTGAGGGACAGGAGGGGACAGGATCACCAGGAAGGAAGTGCAAGGGGGCCAGGGCAGCCACACAAGCGGACTCAGCCCAGGTACGACTGCCACAGAGACAGAATCAAAACCAGCACATGCTACACACCTCGTGAGTGCCAGAAACTTCACATATGTTTCCTCACACAGGCCCCAGACTGCTCTTTATTTCCCTGTTTTAAATGAGGAAATGAAGTCTGGAAAGGGAACATAGCTAGTCCAAGGCTGCACTGTGCTGTTTGTATCGGAACTGCCGTGTGAGAGAGCCCACAAGCCCCAGCATCTCTCAGAGGGGAGATCACACCTGAAATGTGCCAAATTCCCCCAAGCAGGCCACGCTGCTGCAGAAGCGACTGACTCCCAAATCTCAGTGACTGAATACTGACAGCCTGTGTGTCTCTTACACTCAGCCAGGCAGGTGGGTGGGCTGTCTGCCTGCCAGGTCACTGCGGTGCAGGAAGATCCAGGCTGGGGCATCCGCAGGGCCCTACCTGGCCTCAGCCCAGGGCACTGTGGGTCACTTCCTCCCACTTCTCATTGGCCAGATATGGTCACCACTTCTCATTGGCCAGATATGGTCATGTGGCTCATCTTCACAAGGCAGCTGGGAAGTGTGGCTTCCAGTATGCCCAGGAGGAAAGAGTTTGGTGTGATGACTCCCACAGAGCTCAACTTAAAAAGACAGGAGACTAAAATAAAACAAAATGGAAGCAAACATCAGTCCCTTTGGGAGGTGACAGGTAGGCTGGGGGACCGCTCACTCATTCATCTTACAGGGATGTTCAGAACACGGGGGCTGGGTTCTCAGATTCCAGGGTAGGGGTCACTGGACTATACCCATTGTGCTACCATTTCATGAGCACAGCAGAAGCAAGGCAGGGAAGCTCAGCAGAGACCTTAGT